TCAGGCCGGGAAATCTCACACTCATACACCCACAACAAATTCTGAAACATGGACAACCCTATTTTTTGTATGGACCTCACATAAAAAAAGGTTTAAATCCTTAGGTTGGGGACATGCAAACTGCACCTTCACTTCCATTTTTCTTTTCAGTCTCTTTATTTTGCCCTGATATCTATCTCTCTCATGACTTTAATACTCAAGATTTAACAAAACTATACTTTCTAAATTGCCTACATGTCAAAATGAGTACATCACTACAATATCTTTATAGAAAAATCCTAATACTGAACATGAGTCATGTTTTTCCCTTACAAAAATTAACCATGCTTTTATTATAGTAAAAGTACAGTAATCTTGTTTTTTTTTTGGCAAATGGATTACCATTTGTATTTATTTTGACTACAAATTCCATGGTTAAACTATGGTTAGTGTAGCAAAAACCATGGTTAATTTGTGGTTCCCATGGTTTAACAATAGTAACCATTGTCTTTGGATTTATAGTAAAATCGAACCAGTCTATGTTTTCCGCATCGCAGAAATTATAGGGCCGTATGTCTCCTAGTCAGTGCAATTTTGGAAAGAAATAAATTAAATCCGTATGTGGATGTGTGTAAATATTCAGATGTAATTCACATTTTCACGTGGAGTTCTTTTCAGTAATTTCATGTCGAGATGTGGTCACATTATGCCGAGTTCACACTGCACGATATTAGCCCGATTTTTCACTCGCCGACAGGTTTTGCGAAATCGCAGACAAATGCCCGACATCGGAGGCAAATCGGTGCTCGTTCACGCGAGTGACAATCACGCAGTGTGAATTATCAAAGACGCGATCTGAGGGAATCGCAGACACGTCGCCCGCAAAATATTTGCCATGCTAAATATCTGGAGCTGTCAGCGATTCTTCCTATTGTGAAGTCATGCAGTGTGAAACCCCCTGTCGCCGATCCATCGTGCAATGTGAACACAGCAGCGACTGAATGCTACCCCAGATAGTCATGCGGTGTGAAAACAACGACGATCGACGAGTTTGAAAATTGTGCAGTGAAACTTAGGTGAAAAAATTTCAGACAAATAAGGTCCACTGTCCATTTATCAATAGTGTAGTGATGCAGGAAGCAGCACTTAAGTCACTTTCAAACTAAGTAGCTTTATATTGCTCAACACGGCGAATTTGGATGCTCAAAGTTTAACAAACATGAATCCAATGTCAAATCCGAATGGAAAAATGTTTTTCCTCCACATTGCGCCAATTCTGATTGAGATGGATGCATTTTTCTCACAGAATTTCACTGTACAAAGGGTAAATATGATCACATCCTAAGACATGGCTTTAATAAAAACGTTTATTCATTTTTTTTTTAAATCATACAAGGGGACTGATGTGGTGTAAAAACAGAACAAAAACGTTTAATAAAATCTGAGGTACATTTTTACAGCTCCGTCACAACACATAACATACTAGAAATACTGCCAAACTTGGCGGTCAAGTTCTCTAATCTTCAATACAGCTTTATCATTATATGGCAAATTTGTGAGCAAAACTCTCAAAGAAAACCATCTCAGGTTCTCGATCACAATGAAAAACCATCTGTTTTGTTAAAATACATGTATATGAACATTTATCTTTCTCATTAATAAACTGCTAGCCTGGCCCCACCTTTTCTTATCAATGTAGATTTATTACAACAGATACACTCCAAACATCTCACGATTATAAATGAACGATAAGATGGAGAATTCTATCGGTGGACATCAAGTACAGAAGGTGAATGCAGAGAATACAGCAGAAATATTTGATATCAAAGTTCCCGTTACCCAGAATCCCCCAGGCTCTCCGTACAAGCTGACTATGTTGAATCAGCCTAATAAGGGAAGAACATCTCGATCTCAAAAAGAGCAGCTTTTGAGTAACACCATCTCCCGTATTTCTAATTTAAAACGCCTTTTCAAAAGGTTAAGAAATGCTGTTTCGGCTCGACACACAACATTGATAATAAATTAATAAATAGCAAGTGAAAAAAAATGCATAAGATCACAGATGTCAGGGGATGCCATCCTTCCGTTGGCAACACTGGGAAGGCGGGACGCTCCAGTCGTAAATGTAGGACAGCCTCAGTTTGACTTCCTCTTTGCACAGCCGCCCATCGCGCTGTAGTGTCTGATGCTTCTCCAACATGTCCTCTAAACTCTGCTTGTGAGTGACCAGGTACTTATTGCTGCAGCCGCGCGACTTGTACTCCGTGTCGAAGCGCGGATCGTGAACTCGCTTCACGTCCACAGGGGCCAACCAGGCACCCAAGGACACGTCCTCACTCTGCCAGGTCTTTAGAAACCCCACGTTGAGACGTACGTAGTGCACGAGGTCAGCAGACAGCACGTAGCCTCCACCCAGCGCATAAGGTAAGTAGTAGTCGCACAGTTCCCAGGCACTTTCTTTCCATTTCCCGGCCGTTTTCACTCTCCCGCGGCCGGAGAAGAAGCCCCAGTAGAGTCGGCTGGGCTCCTTAGTCTTCAGCTCCTCTTTGAGGACTTCCAAGCGGGTGAAGGTGTCGTCGTCGGCCTTCAGAACGAATTTGAAGTCCACGTTTTGGTCCAACCAGGAGTACATGTGAAGCAGTTTCTGCGTGAGGTTCTCGTACGAATCCCGGAGGTCAGGGAGCAGGAGGAGGTCATGGTGACGGATCTGCTCGGTTTCGAGGTTCTGGAGGTCTTCGGCGGGTAAACCCTCTGTGCCGACGACAAACCAGTAGAGCACTTCGGGATCCTGCTTGGTCAGCCAGGTGCTCCGGATGATACTGCGACGCTCGGTGTACTTCGGCCCCGTGGTGATGAGAACGACCAGGAATGTAGAGAGCTCTTTGGCATGAGGAGGCCCTGCCGGCTGCTTCTGTCGTGACTCGGCCCGCGGCGCCGCCCCTGGGGACTCAGCCGGCTTCAGTGTCTCAGACGTACATTTGGCGAGGAACAAAAGGACGACGGCGAATAGGAAGAAGACACCAAGTGCCAGGGCTGTCTTGTGACGACACACAAGACGGACCAAATTCATGATGTCACTGAAGGACAGAAGGAAATCAAACAAGCCTTAACTAAATGTGTGCAACCTTACAGCCTGTTCACACCAAAACTAACATTTGGTGCAAGAAACATATTTGCATGCAACAGATTTTTTTACAGAGAGGTGCACTGATCTCTTTTCCATCGCACTGAAAAGAAAACAGATCAACCATACGATTCACGCTTTTTGTCGTGTGCGGTTTGATTTACCTACTTCTCCGTGACATGGGTCACGTTAGCGAAATCTTGAGGGCAAAACGGGACATGGTCCATTCTCAATAGTGTAGCAATGTATGAAGCACTCTTCAAGTCACTTTCAACTCAAGCAGCTCTCTGTTGGTCAGCGCAGCAAATTTGCACGACTAATTTGAAGAGGAGCGAAATCTGCACGGGGAACTTTTTCGCCCTCATGCATTAAGGGCTGGTCACACTACACTTTCCGTACCATTGACTTCCATTCATACACATACGAATGCAGGAAACAGGAAGCACAAGCGCTTGCATAATTCGCTTCATTTCAAAGTTCAAGTTCGGTGAACTCTGCCGTGGCCTCTTGAATTAAAAGAAAGCATACTTTAAAATCATACTTTTAAAGGGGTCAAATGATGCGATTTCAAGTTTTCCTTTCTCTTTGGAGTGTTACAAGCTGATTGTGCATAGATAAGATCCCTGAAGTTGCAAAGACTAAAGTCTCAAAACCAAAGAGATATTCTTTATCAAAGTTAAGACTCTGCCACGCCCCCCTAAAACGGCTCGTTCTAACACGCCCCCACATATCTACCTCACTATGTGGAAATATTTGCATAATGCGCCCAAATGTGCAGCAAAGAAAGAAGGCGTGGTTTCAGTAACCGCAGTTAGTGTTGAAGCAGCATGTCAGGGAGACGCTGTGTGTTTCTAGGCGAAAGCAAAAGCACTTTATTTGGCCTTCCGAAAGTAGATGCATTTAGGAATCTTTAAGATTACTTACAACAGAACAGCAATGCATTTTATGGACGACCGTTTCGTGAACCTAGGAGAGGAGGTCATTCTGACTTTGCTATGACAATCTGGCGCTTCTGAATCAGCTACTGTTTTGTTATTAGTTTAAGTATTTGCTATTGACTGTTCAAATGCGGAGTTTTGCACATCGTGTGTGAGTGCTTGTGGTGTTCGGCCAATCACAATGCACTGGGTCAGCTGGCCAATCAGAGCAGACTGCGCTTGTCGGAAGGAGGGACTTTGTAGAAAACAAAGCGTTTGAGAGAGGCGGGGCATAGAGGACCTACAATAATGTACAGTATTTGAAAAATAATGTGTTTTTTGAACATTAAAGCATGTCAACATATTCTGTTACACCAAATAATGATCTTTAAAAAAAGCATCATATGACCCCTTTAAAAGCATACTTTTTTTTACATTTTGGATGTATTAATATGTAAAACTAAATGTAAAAAATGTTCTGACCTGTGCTTTACTTCCGACTGTATGAACTCCTATTGAAATGACTGGATTTGGCCCAAGAGATTTCGCTGTTAATTGAGACCTCGCATTAATTAATAGACACAGAAGTTGAGCAGTATTGCTTTGTGTAACTGGTGTCAACCCTGTTAACGCTGTACTTATGCGTTTCTATAAGCGCCACCTACTGTTCACATAATGAATCTGCACTTTCATTCAGCCTGTCCGCCGTTTTTTTGCGAAAATCAGACCGAATTTTCATGTTGTTGTGAACAGGCCTTTAGGGTAGATGACACAGAACAGGGGTACGTTTCCCAAAAGCAACTATGGTTGCAAGTTTTCAATGGAACTTACCGGCATAGTTAGCTAATGATGTTTTTGGGAAACGCACCCCTGATCAATAAACATCACAATCTTAGGTTATTTTTATATATATATATTTTTATATACATTTATGCTTTAATTCACTAGTTATTTTTAAATGCCTTTTTTTAAATAACTAGTGATTTTTAAATGTAGTCACGGTAAAATATTTTCTAATAAGGCAATAAAAACGGCATGGATAATAGTTATAAAAATAATTCAGTTGTTTTACACCATTTTAGACAAAGTATAGCATGTCAACTACATAGACAATAATAATATAAAGAAACCAGTAAATAATACAATTGTATTATTTTGTGGAACCAGCTTAGAAAACCACATTGAGACCACTAAAGATTCATCACGCAGCGTGCACATTAACTCACCTGCTAGATTCCCTGCAAAGCGATCATGCACTGCGCTTCTGGCTCATCATGAGCTGCTTTATTATTAGAGGCGGTTTGGTTCTGCAGTAGCAGCTGATGTGCTGGAGGTGAACCACAACTCTGTCTTCTGCCTCTCCAGACAAAACCTACAATATTTACACACAGCAGACGCACACACCTCCCGCGACGACCGAAAACCTCAGACTAAAACATAAAGCATTTTGAACGCTTCATTATTATTATTATTATTTTCCAGCTCAAATGCACGCACACAGCCCGCACTTCCCGTTCACAACCACAGACTGAAGTCGCGCTGCTCTGACAGCTTCGTCGACGACCTGCGCCACCTACCGGTCTGGATGATTACATGCTTATTTCAGATAGTTGCCGCTATGCAGGGAGTCTGGCTTAACTTCCACAGTACGATGTAAACCGTAGTAACATTGTCGTATATCTCTGTCGTTTGAACCGCATTTGTCAAATCATATAGGACTGCTGTTAACCACGTCGTGTGGTGGAGTAGTAATAACTTGCTAGCTGATTCAAGATTGCAATGAAGTCAGATTAATCTAGTTAACTTACACAAAACACCAGAAAGCCTTTATATTTCTCTCTCTCTTTAATAACGTTAACATGCATGTATGTCACTTTACTCCCGTAGGATATGCAGTTCCCAGATAGCACACGTACGTCTGTTAAAGGTCGCTTCATCTGGAAAGCATCTGCTTTGTACAAACATGATCTGATCTTTTATATACATTCTGACATCTGATAGGAAACGTCCTATAGAGAGGTATTGCAGATGAGCAAACACTAAAAAACACTACTTGCAGATGTCAAATAGACGTCTCGGTGATGTACTTGTGCTATCGGGGTTCATTGTCAAGAAGTTCTCTGAAATGCTGCTGTAACACATGGCAATCAGACTATTTCTTTTCTCCTGCGAGGGAATGTGGTTTGGTTTCATCTTGGTGTTCAGTATTATCATGTCCGTACTCAGACTAAAGTCTCAAAACCAAAGAGAGATTCTTTATCAAAGTTAAGACTCTGCCATGCCCCCCTAAAACGCCTCGTTTTAACACGCCCCCACATATCTACCTCACTATGTGGAAATATTAGCATAATGCCGCCCAAACGTGTGGTTTCAGTAACTGCAGTTAGTGTTGAAGCAGTCATGTCAGTGAGACGCTGTGTGTGTGTGTGTGTGTGTGCGCGCGAAAGAGCCAGAGATAGAGAGCGAGAGAGCGCGAGAGAAAGCGAGAGAGCGCGAGAGACAGGGTCACATCACAGTGGAGTCAGCTGTCTTAACCGTGGCTTGTGTACTGCAAACACATACCAGCTTCATCACGGTGTCTGTCACGTGACTCTGTTCCCCTTTCAGGCCCCTTTCGCGATTATGGTAAGGGGAGGTGTGTGTGCGCGCGAAAGAGCCAGAGATAGAGAGCGAGAGAGCGCGAGAGAAAGCGAGAGAGAGCGAGAGAGCGTCACATCACAGTGGAGTCAGCTGTCTTAACCGTGGCTTGTGTACTGCAAACACATACCAGCTTCATCACGGTGTCTGTCACGTGACTCTGTTCCCCTTTCAGGCCCCTTTCGCGATTATGGTAAGGGGAGTTACATTTCCGACGAGTGCTTGCGGTGTTCGGCCAATCACAATGCACTGGGTCAGCTGGCCAATCAGAGCAGACTGCACTTGTCAAAGGAGGGGCTTTGTAGAAAACTAAGCGTTTGAGAGAGGCGGGGCATAGAGGACCTACAATAATGTACAGTATTTGAAAAATAGTGTTTTTTGAACATTAAAGCATGTCAACATATTCTGTTACACCAAATACACAAAATAATGATCTTTAAAATAGCATCATATGACCCCTTTAAGCTGAAGCTGTTCCCTTGGATGTTTCAATTCAGGATCATCCTAAACCAACTGGACTGTCTGGAAATGGGACAAATGGACAAGCAAAAAGAATGTGATGTCTAGACAACCAGGGTAGAGAAGAAAAGCTAAAAAACAGCAAGATACAAAAACTGAATTGATGTTCGTTTATTTGATGGCATTACAATAGAGGTGTTTTTTTTCCATTGTGGCTTGACATTACAAAATGTGTACAGTACTTTCTTGGTTGATGCTAAATGTTCTCTGAACTCAAAAACACTGCCAAACATGTTGGAGAGAATGTCAAGGCACGTCATGTTATTGAGAACAAGAAGGACCGTAGAGGTCAGTCACAGTGTCATTTTGAGCAATTTCAAAGATCACGTTAACGGGGTCACAGAGACCGCACGCAGCGGTCAAGGGTCAGACATATTTGGTGTTCTCTAGTTTGAAAAGCAGACTACTCAGAAATGCTGCAAATAAAGCACACTTAATGTCAAAAAAACTGATCACATTAGTCCTTGGGCAAAAAAAAAAAAAAAGTTGACTTTTAGGGAACATTTGTGGATTTTCACATGGATGGAAATTATATATTTGTTTTATAATTAACACTTCATAAAGTTAATGAACAGCACATATATGAAATATACATTTTTGTAACATAAAATGTCTAGGCGGTCACTTTTGATCAATTTATGGCATCCTTGTGGAATAAAAGTATTATTTATGGAAATCTTACTGACCTCAAACTTTTTGTTGCGTATGTGAAAACATGGCGATCATACCAGGTAGTAAGCTCACTCACCTAGCAGGGTGGAACTTCCTCTCGTCCTCATCTTCAGAGTCACTGTGTATGGTGATGACACTGACAGCAGGACTCGGGGTGTCGGAGATAATGATGGGCTGAGTGAGAATAGCACTGAATGCCTGAGAGCCCACCAGAGCACTGCTGTGAATACAGAAATAGACAGACAGTAAATTTAAAGTTTTTACACCCTTAAAAATCATCTGGACACCTAATGCACGTCCTCGCATTAGTGTATCAAATCATGTTATTTTATTATTTTTTAAAAATAGTTCAAGCACACAAAGCAAAAAAAACTGTTCGGAATAATAAAACTAAATTAACATACCATTGAAATATTTGAGCGTCAAAAGTAAATGGCCCAATACCTGCTGCCAGTGTCACAACAGACCCTGCTCCTCTTGTTCTGAGACCGTGTGACTGTGGACGTTCCTCGACTGAGAGACTGAGTAAGATTGAGGCCGCCGAGGATGTGAGGGTTCTGCTGGACGACGCCATTGTGCTGACCGCTCTGAGAAGCCCTGCAGGAAACAACCATCCAATCAGTATTGAGCACATTCAAACATCTACCATACTATAATGAAAGTTTACGGTTCTTCCTAAACATTCACCTCCAGCTTGAAGTTTGCTGTGTAGAGTTCTCGGAGAGTAGGGTCTCCAGAGGCGGGTCGGTCACTACGGGCTGGTGGCTGGAGTTGTGGATGGTCATGCCAGGCACCTGCTGCCACGTGGAGGGTATGAGGATCTGCTGGGTTCCCGCTGGCCAGGCCTGCTGGAGGATGACAAAATATTTGCCTTAGTTACACTGGCACTTGGAAAAACGCTTAAACAAGTCATAGTGTACAACTGACTGTCAATCAAATTTGAAATAAGTTTCACTGGCAAATGAATCGTAGGTAAAAACAGCTATGACCAAACCTGCACCACACAATGAGTGACAATGATGCATATATGGCCATTTAATTCTGAATTAAACATTTGTGCCATGCCAGAATGATCAAGAACTTCAACTAACATGCTGATGTGACATCACTGCACTGCAGAAAATACTACTAAATGAATAAAAGAATCCATCAATGCACAAAAAAAAAAAAATGCAATTCTCTCCCAGAGCATTAGACGGCTTTAGATGCAGCGCAGCCATTTCGTATGATTTTAAAAGCCAAGACAAGCACAGCATGCATAAATCAAACACGAGCATTACAAATTAAAGATGGGGGCAGGAAAGAGTAGTCCGGCAACCTGTTGGGAAAAATCATGGCTGTTAAATAGTCAGAAAACAATGAGCGTTTCCACAGAGCAAACCTGTCCAAAAGACCTGCCATGCCAGTATGGGCAGCACTAGAGTACCTGCGGACAGACATGGCTATGAGAGGGAGAGGAACATGGCTGCGAGTGTTTTTGAGCTGTAGACAAGGTCAGTCTCCTCCCCTGAGAGAAGAAGGAGGGCCAAACAGATGGTGGGGCTGGGAGGGAGGTCAAAGGAAGGATAGAAAAAAAAATATATATATAATATATATATATATATATATATATACACACACACATACATACACACACACACACACACACATATACACAACAAGAAGCTGCAAGCAAAGCATAGAAGAGTCAGCACATGCCTCCCATGCCTGTAGCAGACCTGCACTGAGAAAGAATGATGAGAGAGGGACTGAGAAGGAAAAGAAAGGGAGAACGAGCAGAAAAAGACTAGAAATAAATAAATAGAGAGGCAGGGGGAGAGGGGGAGGGAGAGGGAGAGAGGAATAGACTAGAAATACAGAAGGGATTATTAAAAAAAAAAAAAAAGGAAGAGCTGAAAAAAGAAAGAGGAAAAACTCAGAAAGAAAAAATATAGGGGTCAGAAATAAAAACAGAGATCGGGAAAATAAATAAAAATGTAATTGAAAGAAACAAAAATGCCAAAAAGGTCCGTAAAGCTCAAAGAGGATCCAGAATGATCAAAGTGAGATCAGAAAAAAAGATGGGTGATTGGACAAAAGATCAAAGTGTCACTGAAAAAACAAACAAACAACAGAAGACAACAACAAAAGATCAGTAACGATCAACTAGAGATTAAAGAGGATCCCGAATGATCAAAGAGAGATCCGAAAGAAATAAAAGATATGGTCTATAACATAAGAGAGACCAGAATGAGAGTAGGATTAGAAAGAAAGATGCATTTAAGCAAGATTTTGGAAAGAGCCCAAGAGAGGGAGAGGGGTCAATGAGAAATGATGATGTTAGTGGTAGAGCGCTGGGTGGGTCTCTCTTTACCAGCACTGTGGCTGTCTGCTCCAGTAGGGCAGGCCTTCCTGCCCCACAGCCCAGTGCCAGGGGCAGCGGGTACTGGGATGCCACTCCCGCTGTGTGGGGGTGCAGCGTGGCCACCATCAGAGGCGTACAGGAGCCCTATGGAGGAGGGGCACCATGGAGGGAAAGGGGCAAAAAGCACGGAAAGATTAGACAAAAGGTCAGACTCAGGTCAGGGGTACAAGGCTGTGATCTCACATGCCAGTAGCCGAACAGGTGTCCATGCAGACTTTAAGGACTGACATTTCCTCTCCAACTCAACTGGATTAATTAGCAGTTCATCAGATTGCAATGATGGAACGTCAGTGTTAGATATTATGCCACCATTTCACAAACAATGTGCTGAATATGTCTTACCTGTGTCAGCATGCTGGGTTGAATCTGAAGGGGTTGCGTGTTCTGGTTCTGCTGGACAACAGGAACACTGTTCTCCATCCTGACAGGATAGCTAGAGGATTTACTAGAAGACGGAAGCCCTTCAAGAAAAAAAACAAAAGAGTGTCTGTACAAATTTTTCAGAGGGTTTTTCAAGGATGGGGAAGCCTTGCATTATTGTATCAAATTAATAATTATTCGTAAAACATCTTTCTGAAATTCTGAATGACTGAATGACCAATTCAAGGCTGAAGAGTAGAGGGCGCAACATGAACGCAAGAACAGAACACAGGAAAAGAAACTTGGCAAATAAAAATGAAATAGACGTGATGCTTAACTTAAGTCATTTGTGGTTAAATTATCGAAGGTCAGCAGCAAAAACCTTGGTAGATTAAAACTATTCAAGTCACTGCACGTAATTAAAATTTGTATATCCCTGAATATATTAACTGACAGATAGGACAAAATGAGCATAATGTAATTTACTTATTAACCCTATTAGCTTGAGGGGGAACACAGGCAAAGTCATATTTAGTTTCATCATGGAGTAAGAAGAAAAGAAAAAAAAAGGCATGCCAGTTGCAGTCTCTGCAGCAAAATTAAGCGGAAATGAAACCCCGTGAAATCTTGATAAGGTGATAACCTGAGATTGGAAAACAATAACCCAGAAACGTAGATACTATCATAACATACCTCGATCTGTCCCTGACGTGCATATGACGGATGGTTCTTCAGGATCTTGATGGCCACAATCTCATTAGTTCCTCTTTTCCAGCACTTGGCCACCTGCCCAAACGTACCCCGACCGAGAAACTCAAGAACTTCGTAGCTGTTGGAGACGGAGCAGAGGATCTCGTGCTGGACCAGCTGGTAGTCCCCTTCCCCGTTGGAGCTGCTGCTTTTGGTGGTGGGGGCCGAGTGGGGGATGGACTGGGCGGTGGTCCCCGCTCCTCCCGTACGTGCGGAGAAAGCAGGAGCAGAGAGCTCCTCCAGAATCTGAACGCTGCCGCTTCCGCCTCCTCCGGAGCTCTCCACCACCTCATTCTTCCTCTTCACGCCGTACCTGTGCCCGCGGGAGGAGTGGGACTCCGTGTGGTGGGCCCTGTGGGATGTTCTGCGACTGGACCCCCGCGGGAGGCTCCCGGTGCTGTCTGCAGCACGGACCACCACCTGGCCCCGGGACGCTGGGGGGAAGACCAGGCCGGAGGAGCTGAAAGGGAGGACCGCAGCAGGGTTGAAGCTGTACTGGCCCACAGAACTGTACGCTTCATTGGAAGCATCCCAAGCACAGCTCTCCACTTTCATTTTTTTCACCCTGCAGAAGGCACTGGAAGACACAGACGGAGGGGAGAAAACCTGCAGCTGTGAAGCCATGCCTGCGAATATTGAATAAATGCGTTCGGCATTGATGAACACAGAAAGAACACAAAAGATGGCAATACTGATATCTCAGCATGATTGAACGAACACAGTCAAGATAATGAAAAAAATAATGCGTCATAAGTATTATAAACACTGACAAATCTAGCGTTCAGTGAGAAAATCCTGCCGTGTTGATCAAACAACCAAATTTTAATATTAAATTAAATTCAGTAAGTTGTTTTTCTGGTGTTGACTGTTACTACAAGCACACTTAAAGTGAAGAAAAATATAGTTCTTCTTAAAACATGCAAACAATTTCATTATAATTTGTGACAGTGCAAACAAAACATGCACAAATGACTAATCTATCAAATAGAGCCTGTTATATTAATCTCATAGCTTTTATAAATATATGACAGAACTGGTGGGGACACAGACAGCTTTTTTTTTATCCTTATGTCAGAATTCAAGATGTAATAGTTGTTGTCTTTGTCAGGTTTAAAGTATATTTTAATCTATATTAAGTATTGAGGTATAGTCTGGGGGGGGGGGGGAAATTAATGTAATACATTTATTCATTTATAAAATCTGTGATAATATCGGAATAATTTTATAATGGAAATAAAGTAAATTAATGTAATACATTTATTCATTTATAAAATCTGTGATAATATCGGAATAATTTTATAATGGAAATAAAGCTACCTACCTGTAAATTATCTGTAATCTCTTTAAATATAATATGAATCATTTTAGAGTGGAAATACTGCTAAAGGCAGGTCAAATTGTGAAATGTTTCGTCTCGTATCTGAATTATCCATGCATTACATACACACAGGTCGGATCACACAGATAAAATAAAAACATTATTATTTTCGATTTGTAAAACTGCTGGTCATACTAGCATCTGACTGGATTGAGGAAAATGCTGAAACCCTGATTCACACGAGCACATTCAGAGAGACCGACTGCAAGCAGAACATCCAAGAGAAAGAAAAAAACACATCAAATCGTCAACACACAACCGAAATATCAAATATTACCAACGAGCTACACAGCTGCTGGTCGCAGTTTTAAAGCGAGATGTTTACACCCATCAAACGACTCCACCCTTTTCGAGAAAACTGCGCTAATGTCGATTATTTGTAAAACTGCTGGTCATACTAGCATCTGACTGGATTGAGGAAAATGCTGAAACCCTGATTCACACGAGCACATTCAGAGAGACCGACTGCAAGCAGAACATCGAAGAGAAAGAAAAAAACACATCAAATCGTCAACACACAACCGAAATATCAAATATTACCAACGAGCTACACAGCTGCTGGTCGCAGTTTTAAAGCGAGATGTTTACACCCATCAAACGACTCCACCCTTTTCGAGAAAACTGCGCTAATGTCGCGAAGCAAATAAAGGAAATACGAACTAAATGGGGAAACAACGCGATGATTTTTGCTTTCTATATGAGCATTAAATATATCGCAATCACTGAACGGAACGAGTCTCCGGTGTCCTCGAATCTGCAGCTACATTGTATCGTCTGTCGGCTACTAGGCAACCAATCGTTAGAGAGCTAGTGTTACAATATAACGCGTCGAATATAATTAACTATTAAAAAATAAAAAGCATTGTAGCTCAGAATAAAAGGAAAAATCAATGAGAAAATGAAACAAAACAACAACAAAAAAAATCACCAGAGCTCAACAAAACTCCTTTACAAATAAATCAATCAATTCAAACGCATTGTATGTCTAACGTTACATTAGTTTAATTACACTTACGCGGATGTATATATAAAATGGATGTTTATTGCTATATTAATACCTGAGCGTGTTGTTGATCCTGGCGTCTGGGGCAGAGGAGAGCTTTAAATCCCTCAGATCTGGATTCTAGGCCTGCATTGTTACTGAGCAGCTCCGGCCCTGCAGTTAACTCGAAAATAAACAGCGACCGGTATAAAAATACAGCTCCATCAGTCGCTGTGCGGGGTGACTGGGCACGCTGCTCATAAAATCGTCGGTTTCTGTCCTTGTACTTAAAAAGCCCCGTTTAAAACCCAGGCAGAAAGCGGCTGTTGTGCTGCCCAGAACACCCAAAGCCTGAGTATCAGCTGCTTCTGTCAGGCTTCCTGTCCACAGGCTCAGGACTGCGCATGCGCAGATGCCGCTGGCTGCTCAACGTGCTTCCAGCTGGAAAGGCATAGTGACTCACACGGCCTCACTGTAATGGAAGATAGTAGACACCCTTGGCATTTTTTTTACAACGAATCACTAATCCAGTTATTTATTTGGATGTTCTTTAAACATGTTCATTTACATAATACCAATACGGAACTACTGATCTAAAAATACCTTACAAAACATCATTACCAGACATTATGTCTCTCTATATAAATATTACACACAATGCATGATGACATGAAAATGTACCTTCATATAATAGACTCTTGTCTGACTTTAGGCCAATGTGGTTTTACTGTGTTGACTTGTTTAGCCAACCGCTATAAGAAAAACAAGATATTTTAATTTAGAGGTCATTTACAAGAGTTTAAACCATGTTTTTGAAGTCCACTTACATAACCAGTGCTATGAAAAAGAAAGAAAGAGAGATTTTTTGATTCAAGAAAGTATTTATAAATATATAAAACAGATATGAATGTAATCATACAGTTAAACCCCTTACCAAAATTATTATCCAATTCTAAAAAAAAGAAAAAGTTATTTTATTATAAAAATCTTATATTCATCGACTAGTATAAATAATGAATCATTTTGCAATCACATACTTGACTGTAGGGCTTTACAAGGAATTTACAAGGAAACCAAAAAAAAAAAAACCTTTTCCGTTAAGCAAGTCATGAGTGTTGGGAAATGATTCTGAAAGCAGAAATTTGGCATGGCGTAACTTTTATGAAAGTGCAAAGACCTGAATTCAAAATAAACAGGATGAGAACGATCTGTGACACAGATAATGAGGGGCTAAACAGAAACACTGTTGGCAGTTAAGTCTTCATTTTAACTGGTCTGGACCATCAATCAAGAACATAACAAAACCTGGTTTTCTCCTCTGCCATGTCACAGAAGAGAAGACACCGGCCGTTTCATTTCAAAGTGCCTTTCACTCGAAGCGAACTTCAGAAAAGCATGTTTTAGCATAGCATTACCCCAAGGTTGTGTCATGTGTTTTAGTGTTCTGAATAGTTCACTTTGGTTAAAAGAAAGAGCTTTCAGGTCACTATAGTCAGTTCTCAGTCCTGGCCTATATGTAGCGCAAACTTGAATGTGTACACACACACACACACACACACACACTTAAAAATAAAGGTGCTTCACGATGCCATAGAAGAACCTTTTTGTCTAAATGGTTCCATAAAGAACCTTTAACATCTGAAGAACCTTTCTGTTTCACAAAAGGTTCTTTGTGGCGAAAGAATGTTCTTCAGGTTATAAAAAGATAAGAAAGAGATGGTTCTTTGTGGAACCAAAAAAGGTTCTTCTATGGCATCACTGTAAAGAACCTTATGAAGCACCTTTATTTTTAAGAGTGCAGACAACCAAACCAGCTATAACATACACATTTTCAAGTGTTCCCCTCAGCTTTGGCTGGTGACATGCAGGGGGTCGTCGGGCCACATGACCGTTATGAGGAGGAACACCAAAGTCTTCATCTCTAGGCCTCAAATCTGGAAACCAGCAAGGCTGTATTCCCACATTTAGGTCTTTCTGAGTCCTTTGCTTCACATTGATTTCCTGTAAAGGAGAAAAACATTAGTATGTATAACTAAATGAACACACATTTTGTTTAAAGCTTCTCTGGGAGTCCGATTTACCTCCACAACCTCAGGAAACCGCTCACAGAAAACTCTGTCCTTCAGGTTATAGGTCAAGCTCTGCACAGACCGCGTTTTTTTCTGACAAATAAACATACAAAATAATAAAAGAATGAATAGAGATTGGACTAAACTGCAAAGTTTCACAGGGGAACGGAAAGGTTTTGCAAGAGAACGCATGTTTTTCTAAAGAAATCAAAGATTATCGGGGGGGAACGCAAAGTTTCACAGGGGAACGGAAAGGTTTAGCAAGAGAACGCATGTTTTTCTAAAGAAATCAAAGATTATCTGGGGGGGGACGCAAATTTTTTTATGAGAAAACGCAAAGTTTCACAGGGGAACGGAAAGGTTTTGCAAGAGAACGCATGTTTTTCTAAAGAAATCAAAGATTATCGGGGGGGGGAACGCAACATTTTTTACGAGAAAACGCAAAGTTTCACAGGGGAACGGAAAGGTTTTGCAAGAGAACGCATGTTTTTCTAAAGAAATCAAAGATTATCGGGGGGGGGAACGCAACATTTTTTACGAGAAAACGCAAAGTTTCACAGGGGAACGGAAAGGTTTTGCAAGAGAACGCATGTTTTTCTAAAGAAATCAAAGATTATCGGGGGGGGGGACGCAAATTTTTTTATGAGAAAACGCAAAGTTTCACGGGAACGGAAAGGTTTTGCAAGAGAACGCATGTTTTTCTAAAGAAATCAAAGATTATCGGGGGGGGGGACGCAAATTTTTTTATGAGAAAACGCAAAGTTTCACGGGAACGGAAAGGTTTTGCAAGAGAACGCATGTTTTTCTAAAGAAATCAAAGATTATCGGGGGGGGGAACGCAACATTTTTTACGAGAAAACGCAAAGTTTCACAGGGGAACGGAAAGGTTTTGCAAGAGAACGCACGTTTTTCTAAAGAAATCAAAGTTTCTCGGGGGGAATGCAAAATTTTTTATGAGAAAACGCAAAGTTTCACAGGGGAACGGAAAGGTTTTGCAAGAGAACGCATGTTTTTCTAAAGAAATCAAAGATTATCGGGGATGAACACAACACATTTTTTATGAGAAAACGCAAAGTTTCACGGGAACGGAAAGGTTTTGCAAGAGAACGCATGTTTTTCTAAAGAAATCAAAGATTATCGGGGATGAACACAACACATTTTTTTTTACAAGACAATGCAAAGTTTCACAGGGGAACGGAAAGGTTTTGCAAGAGAACGCATGTTTTTCTAAAGAAATCAAAGATTATCGGGGATGAACACAACACATTTTTTATGAGAAAACGCAAAGTTTCACAGGGGAA